CCCCCACCGTCAGACGTAGAGCGACCTCTTAGCGAAGCCGAAGTCGCTAGGGGAATAGCGGGCCCCCACCGCCTGAACCAGCCGGGTACAGCACCACGAACTGGCCGAAGAGCGCCGCGGCCGAGTCTTAGTCTGGGTGCTCGGTCTTGCACTCTTCGTCGCACAGGAAGGCCCTCGGGTCCAGGTCGCCCTCGTCGAACGCCTCCTGGATGGCCTTCGCATGGGCCTCCTTGGCGCACTCGAGCTGCGCCTCCAAGTTGATGATTTCCATGGCCCACTTCTGGATGTCGCGGGTGAACTCCTGCTCCGCCCTGCAGCCCAGCTGGTCGGAGAGCGCGCACGTGACCTCGTCGACCTTCTCCACCTGGGAGGGGGCCTCCACCACGGTGCCCTCGGACCCAGTGTCGAAGAGGTTCGGCTCCTTCTGGCCATCGCACTCGGCCTCCTGCTGCTTCCACGCCTGCTTGAGCTTGTCCTTCTTCTCCTCGAGCTTTTCCTTCTGGATGCAGCCGTCCTCGAACTTCGTGACCCGCTCGCGGCACTCCTCGTCCGAGACTTGGCTGCTGGTGGCGGCTGCACGGAGGGCCGCACCAGCACGGTGCCTGCCTCTCTGCCGCCGCTTCGCCTCCTTGCCATCCTTCGGCAAGGCCTCCGCTCCTTCCCCAAAGAGCGCATGCTCGGCCACGTTCCTGATGGCCTTGTCCTCGCCCGTGAGGCGCAACGGCTCCACGTCGTGCGCTGCGCGGACCTTCGCCGCGATGACGGGCTTGATCATCCCGATCCTGGCGTCCACCTCCTCCAGGACCTCCTTCTCGTCAGCCTCCTGGGCAGACGCAGCGCGACCCGCGCGCCACAGGGCGACCGCCGTGGCCGCCACCACATGGCGGGAGCCGCCCGCACGAACCACCGCGCCGAGCAGCGCCTCCGCCATTGCATCGGACATGGGAGGAGCAGAACCGCGGCCAGCTCAGCCTGGGCAGGCGAACAGGCTCTGAGCCAAAATGGCTACGGAGGAGGAGGAGGAGGAGGAGGAGGAGGCGGAGGAGGAGGAGGAGGAGGAGGAGGTGGAACGGCCAAAGTACGCCAAAGATGCATAGTGGTGTTGTAACACACCCTCCCGTCCCAAGTCCCTCAAAAAAGATCGCCACATATGCCCCCTCTTCCATTGTAAGATGCCCCTCCGTCCCTGAAAGACTAGGACATCTAGGCCTGCCATGTTGGCGAGGGCCCTTATTTGAAAAGGATCTGCCTTGTATGTTTCTGGCGTGTGGTTAGGAACACAAGCAAAATACCTGACGAAGGACCCAACCAGATGCAGCTGCGAATGCCGCATTGTAGGTACCGGTTTCGGTGGAGCTCCCTATGGGGCCACGAAACGTGCGAGCGTTGCTCCGAAATCGGTGGCGCGGACGCATGTGGACACCGCCACTGGGGCTTTCGGTGGAGCTCCCTATGGGGCCACGAAGCGTTGTCCTGATTGGGGGAGACGCATGCGAACTGTGCCATTAGGACCTTCGTTGGAGATCCTTATGGGGCACGAAACGCTGCCATGGGCGGGAGAGACGCATGCGAACCGCGCCACTGCCGCCTTCGGTGTAGCGGGGCCACGAAACGCTGCCCTAGGTGGGGGAGGCGCATGCGAACGGCGCCACTGGGACCTTCGGTGGAGCCCCTTTTTATGGGGCCACGAAACATTGTCCTGGGCGGGGGAGACGCATGCGAACGGTGCAACTGGGGCCGTCGGTGGAGCTCCTTATGGGGCCACGAAACGCTGTCCTGGGTTGGGGGGGGGCGCATGCGGACGGTGCCACTGGGACCGTCGGTGGAGGTCCTTATGGGGCCACGAAACGCTGTCATGGGTGGGGGAATCGCACGCGGGCCCTGCCATTGGAGCCTTCGGTGGAGCTCCTCATGGGGCCACGAAACGATGTCCGGGGTGGCGCTGACGCATGCGGACCTTGCCATTGGAGCCTTCGGTGGAGCTCCCTATGTGGCCACGAAACGATGGCCTGGGTGGCGTTGACGCATGCGGACCCTGCCACTGGAGCCTTCGGTGGGGCTCTTTATGGAGCAACGAAACGCTGTCCTGGCTGGCATTGACGCATGCGGACCCTGCCACTGGAGCCTTCGGTGGAGCTTCTTATGGGGCCACGAAAAGCTGTCTTGGGTGGCGTTGACGCGTGCGGGCCCTGCCACTGGAGCCTTCGGTGGAGCTCCCTATGGGGGCCACCAGACGCTGTGCTGGGTCGCGCTGACGCATGCGGACCCTGCCACTGGAGCCCTCGGTGGAGTTCCCTATGGGGCCACGAATCGCTGTCCTGGGTGGCGCTGACGCATGCGAGCCCTGCCATTGTTCTGAAAAGAGCTACCCTCTTTACGGGGCCACGAGGCGTGCGACATATAAGCCGACATGGGCGGGGGGTGCATTTGGACACCGCCACCAAGGCCTTCGGTGGAGCTCCCTGGGAGCATGCCACGAAACGCGCGAGGGGTGTGCCGAAATTGGCGGGGGAGACGCATGTGAGCACAGCCACTGGAGCCTTCGGTGGAGCTCCCTATGGGGCCACAAGACGCTGTGCTGGGTGGCGCTGACGCATGCGGACCCTGCCACCGGAGCCTTCGGTGGAGCTCCCTATGGGGCCACGAATCGCTGTCCTGGGTGGCGCTGACGCATGCGAGCCCTGCCATTATGTTGAAAAGAGCTGCCCTCTTTACGAGGTCATGAGAGGTGCGACATGTACGGGGGGATGCATGTGGACACCGCCACCAAGGCCTTCGGTAGAGCTTCCTGGGTGCAGGCCACGAAACGCGCGAGGGGTGTGCCGAAATGGGCAGGGGAAACGCATGTGAGCACAGCCACCGAAGCTATCGGTGGAGCTCACTATGCGGCCACGAAGCGCTGTATTCGGTGGCGCAGACGCACGTGGTCACAGCCACTTGGGGCCGTCGGTGGAGCTCCTTGTGGGACCACGAAACACTGTATTGGGCGACGCGGACGCACGTGGTCACAACCACTGGGGCCGTCGGTGGAGCTCCTTATGGGGCCACCAAACGCTGTGCTGGGTTGCGCGGGACGCACGTGGTCACAGCCACTGGGGCCTTCGGTGGAGCTCCCCATACAGCCACGACACGCCGTACTAGGTGGCGCGGGACGCATGTGGCCACTGAGTCCTTCGGTGGAGCTCCCTATGGGGCCACGACGCGTTGTACCGGGTGGCGCGGACGTATGTGGTCACAGCCGGTGCGGCCTTCGGTGTGGCTCCGAATGGGGCCACCAAACGCAGTACTAGGTTGCGCGGGACGCATGTGGTCACAGGTATTGGGTCCTTCGGCGGGGCTCCCTATGAGGCCACGACGCGCCGTACTGGGTGGCGCGGCACGCATGTGGTCACAGCCACTGGCTGTCGGTGGGGCTTCATGGGGCCACGACGCGCCGTACTGGGTGGCACGGGACGCATGTCGTCACAGCACAGCCACTAGGGCCTTCGGCGGAGCTCCATCTGGGGCCACGAAACGCTGTACTGGGTGCGCTCAAATGGCGAACCTGCAGGGGGCAGAGGCAAGGATGGGAGGGGGGGGGAGGAGGAGACTTAGCCTGGCGAAAGACTCAACCACATGCAGTTGTGGGCACCGTCGTTGTATGCACCGCATTCGGTGGAACTCCCCTTGGGCCAGGGGTGCGCCAAAATGTGCGCGGTGGGCGCGTGCGAGCGCTGGCATGTGGGCATTCGGTGGGACTCCCTGTGAGGCCACGAAACGTGCGAGGGGTGTGCCAACATAGGTGCGGTGGGCGCATGCGAGCGCTGGCATTTGGTCGTTCGGCTGAGCTCCTATGGGGTCACGAAACGTGTGAGGGAGGGGTGTGCCAAAATGAGTGCAGCGGGCGCACGCGAGCGCTGGCATCTGGGCCAGCGGTGAAGCTCCTATGGGGCCAAGAAGCGTGTGAAGGGTGTGCTACAATGGGTGCGGTGGCCGTATGCGAGCGCTGGTATCTGGGCATTCGGTAGAGCTCCCTATGGGGCCACGAAGCGTATGAGGGGTGTGCCAAAATGGGCGGGACGGGCGCATGCGAGCGCTACAATTTGGGCCTTCGGTGGAACTCCCTATGGGGCCACGAAACGTGTGAGGGGTGTCCTAAAATGGGCACGGTGTGCGCATACGAGCGCTGGAATGTGGGCCTTCGGTGGAGCTCCCTATGGGGCCACGAAAAGTGTGAAGGGTGTGCCAAAAATTGGCGCGGTGGGCGCATGCGAACGCTGGCATGTGGGCCCTCGGTGGAGCTCCCTATGAGGCCACGAAGCCTGTGAGGGGTGTGCCGAAATTGGTGCGGCGGGCGCATGCGAGCGCTGGCATCTGGGCTTTCGGTGGAGCTCCCTGGATGGGGCCGCGAAGCGTGTGAGGGGTGTGCCACAGTGAGGGGGTGACGGGAGTGCCAAACTGGTTGACACGCAGAGGGCAGAGGGAAGGGTGGGAAGAGGGAGAAGGAGAAGGAGGAGGCGAGGAGAGGAGATGAGGTGGGATGCGGGGCGCTGTCTCTTCAAATCGAGGACCCAACACCACAAGACGGTTGGGAGAAAGGAGGAGAACGAAGAGGAGGAGGAGGAACGCGGGGCGCTGTCTCTTCAAAAGGAGGACACAATAGCACAGGCTGGTTGGAACAAACGGATGCGCGCGGCCCTGAGGCGAGAGCCCCATTCTGAAAAGGAACGCTCTCCAGCCGCGAAGCAAACGTTTCAGACGGCTGCGCGCGACGCATGAGCGCGAGCCACGGTTTGAAAAGGAACCGGTCTCCGTCCGTGAAACGACGGCAAACATGTAAGACGAGCACTCGCTGCGTTCAGGCGGGAGCCACCTTTTGAGAAGGAGCCTCCCTCCGTCCGTGAAATGTTCTGCAAATGTATCAGACGAGCGTGCGCGGCGCTCGGGCGAGAGCCACATTTTGAGAAGGAACCGCCTTCCACCAGGGCAGATGTCCCAACAGCTTGAGGACGGATGTCCGTAGCCATTTTGGCTCAAGTATTGGCTCGAAAGTTTCTCTATCTATTTTGTCACTGATTAGTGCCCGGGCAGGTTGTGAGTCAATTGGGCCGGTTGTTTCTCGGTCAAGAGCCGCTGCTGAAGCACGCCCAGCATATGTGCACACGCGCACCCCCCTTGCACAGATTTTGCCACAACATTTTTCTTCGCTGCTGGATTGTGATCTACTGTGAACCTAAGTAATTTGCGTCGCAGGTACAAGTAATTCCTTCACGGCACGTGATATCGGTAATTTGTCTATGGCGTTCAAATTAGTTATCTCATTACGCTCCGGTCGGAGTTTTTTCCTAGCAAAGCAGGGCGTCCGCCATTTGATATTGCCGGCGTCCGGTTTTTCAAACATTCTTCAAGACAGTACGACTAATGCGTCTGATGTGTTTGCAGGGGCCCCACTGTCCACGATAACTCCGAGCCTCCGAGGTAATGTCCTTGCAGATGTGGCTCGAATGGTTGACGCGGAAGTGAACCCGCGCTCCATATTTGAGATGGGTGTGCCTGGCCACTGCTGCAATGGCTACAGACGCGGAACTGATAAAATGGAGTACGATTGGCTTCGGAATGGATTGCGCATCGTATGCAAGAGTTCGAAGATGTCATGGTGCACAGTGAGAAAGAGTTGGGAATTCCAGTTCAAAAGGATTAAGATTCCGCACGGTGAAGTTCGGAGAGTAGCTGCATTTGATGAATTATACTTGGTTTTGTATACTCCTACGCACCTGTACTTCTACAGACATTGTGGTACATTCGGGTTGTCTTCTGTGGGACAGCGTACAGCTACTGATGGGCACCAGCTTCGGATACGTGGTGGGGGCGGTGTCGAAGATTGGCGTTTTGCTTTGGAGGATATATTGGGCAAGCTCGACGACGGCGCAAATTCTTGCGTGCGTCTGGCAATGATGCCACTAGCGGACAATCGGATACAACACGCTCTAGACCTTCGGTGCAATGTCACTCAGAAGATTTTCAATGGATGCCCTTTATCTGAGGTCACTCCTGTCGTGAGGGGGAAGCGACTTGAAATGCTTACCTGCAGAGTGGATCAAATCGTTAACCCTAGTGCTGAGATGAAGTGGCCCGATTCTGGGTATTGCGCGGGTGGCCTACAGCGGCGCGGAGGTTACAGGGCAGTGTGCGATTGGCACCGAGATGACATTCGCGTCGAATGCAAGAGTTCGCAGCTTCAGTGGAACAAGCGTTTGAGACGTTGGTCGTTCAAATTTCCGAACGTCAAGGTTTCGAATCCGCCTTCGTTTGACGAACTCCTGCTTGCATTTTACACACCCTGGGGTGTTTATATTTACCGTCATGATCTGCGTTTCGGTCTGTCGCTTTGTGGGGTTAGAACAAGTGTCGCGGGTCACCAGATCCAGGTATATGGCCCACGTCAAGAGGCAGATTGGCAGGTTGCATTGGACACGATTATCAACAAGATTGACGAGTCAGATTGCGGACGCGTTGCATTCATTTTTTGGTGAGACAGGCTGTAGACTGGTGCTGCTGCACCATAATTTGCCCTCCCCCCCACCCCAACGCTGGGCGGGAAAGAGCTCAGTAGATGATTGTATGGCTCTTTCTCTCCTTGTTTCCCGTCACCGCATCTTCCTCTTTGGACCGCAGAGTAAATATTGGCCACTGCAACCCGCAGTGATACGTCGACCAGGCTAGCTGGCACTCACAGTGTTGCTACCGAGCGTGTCGATCGCAGGAAGAGAAGGAGGAGCAGGCGGAGGTGCCTTTAACATGCCGTCTATTATGCCGAGAGGACCGGCGAAAAAAAAACAGCTTGAGGTCGGATGCGCGCGGACTTTTTGTAAACGATCCCCCCCATCCACTCAAGAAATTGCCACGTGTTCAACATTAGCCTGGCGAAGGATCCAACCATATGCAGTTGTGGGCACCGCCTTTGTATGCACCGCATTCGGTGGAGCTCCCTATAGGCCAACGAAACGCGTGAGGGGTGTGCCGAAATGGGCGCGGTGGGCGCATGCGAGCGCTTGAATGCGGGCCTTCGGTGGAGCTCCCTATGGGGCCACGGAACGTGTGAGGGGTGTGCCAAGATGTGCGCGATGGGCGCATGCGCGCGCTTGCATGTGGGCCGTCGGTAGAGCCCCCTTTATGGGGCCACGAAACGTGCGAAGGGTGTGCCAAAAATTGGCGCGGTGGGCGCATGCAAACGTTGGCATCTGGGCCTTCGGTGGAGCTCCCTATGGGGCCACGAAACGTGTGAGGGGTGTGCCAAAAATGGGTGCGGTGGGCGCATACGAGCGCTGGCATCTGGGCCTTCGGTCGGGTTTCCCATGGAGCCACGAAACGTGTGAGGGGTGTGCCAAAATGGGCGCGGTGGGCGCATGCGAGCGCTTGCATGTGGGCCGTCGGTGGAGCTCCCTATGGGGCCACGAAACGTGTGAGGGGTGTGCCAAAATGGGCGCGGTGGGCGCATACGAGCGCTGGCATCTGGGCCTTCGGTGGAGCTCCCTATGGGGCCACGAAACGTGTGAGCGGTGTCCTAAAAAGGGCACGGTGGGCGCATGCGAGCGCTGGAATGTGGGCCTTCGGTGGAGCTCCCTATGGGGCCACGAAAAGTGTGAAGGGTGTGCCAAAAATGGGCGCGGTGGGCGCATGCGAGCGCTGGAATGTGGGCCTTCGGTGGAGCTCCCTATGGGGCCACGAAGCGTGTGAGGGGTGTGCCAAACTGGTTGACATGTGGAGGGCAGAGGCAAGGGTGGGAGGAGGGAGGAGCGGGAGGAGGAGGAGAGGAGAGGAGAGGAGAGGAGAGGAGAGGAGAGGAGAGGAGAGGAGAGGAGAGGAGAGGAGAGGAGAGGAGAGGAGAGGAGAGGAGGGGAGGGGAGGGGAGAGGAGAGGAGGGGAGAGGAGAGAAGAGGAGAGGAGAGGAGAGGAGGTGGGACGCGGGGCGTTGTCGCTTCAAAACGAAGACCCAACACCACAGGATGGTTGGGGAAAAATCGAATACGCCCGGCGCAATGGCGAAGGTCACAGTTTGAAAAGGAGCTCTCGTCTACAGGCGAAGAGTCGCAGTTTAAAAAGCTCGAACATGCCGTAAACGCTTAAGAGAATGCGCGGTGCGCTTAGGAGAGAGCCACAGTCTGAAAAGGATCCGCCTTCCACTCGTGAAATTGCTTCAAGCTATGAAGACGAATGTGCGAGGCGCCGAGGCGATCGCTACCTTTTGAAAACGGCCCCCCTCGATCCAGGAAGCTGCTCCGAGCGTGTACGACGAATGTGCGCGGCGCTTAGGCGAGCGCCAGATTTTGGGAAGGAGCCGCCCTCCACCCGCGAAGGTGCTGCAATCGTTTAAAGCGAACGTGCGCAGCGCTCGGGCGAGAGCCACATGTTTAAAAAGAGCTGCCCTCCATCCGTTCAAGAGACGAGTGTGCGCGGCGATCAAGCGAAAGCCACATCTCGAAGAGGAGCCACACTGCGTCCGTGATTGAGGTGTAAACTGTTAAGACCACTGTGCGCGACGCTATCTCATGGCATGTGTCGGCCGTCTTAGGGCTATCGAAGGTGCCCCTTGGGCGATGCGAAGGTCATGCTGGAGGCCTCTTGGGTCGTCTTGATCTGTCAGAAGGCCGACAGGACGAGAACGCCAGACTCTTGTAAAGTTCGTACGGATATCCGAGATATCAACCATGTCTGCTTCGTGAGGGCTCTCATTGAGTTACTTTTGGAGCCCTCTTGGGCCACTGCGGAGGCCTCTTGGGCCAATTGAGGCCATCTTGGGCCGTCTTGTCAGTCTGGGCGGCCTTCGCCATCGACCAAACAAGAAGGGTGCTCTAATTAGGCCCACCGTCGGAGCCCGAAAAACACCACTGGGAGCCCTCCTTGGGCGCTCTTTGGGTGCTCTTGAGGACCTTTGGGGCTTTGGGCGGCTTTGGGGACATCTTGGGGCAGCTGCAAGATCAAAACTAGCAAAAAGCCGAAAACATCAAGATCATGAACAGAACACGTTGATCTTGTAGAAGTTGGGCCTCTTGGGCGCACCCTTGTGAGGCACCGAGGCATTCTCGACTCATTGTGTTGTCAGCTTGAAGCATATAGGTTTTTCTACAGCGAACGCGAAGACCTAGCGCCGATCCCGAAAACCAGAGGCAGGTGAAACACTGGAGCAACAGAATCCCACCCAAGATGAGGCTCAGCCGGGAAAAAGGAGGAGGAGGAGGAGCGGAGCAGGAGGAGGGAGGGAGATCAGATGATCTCCATGTCAGCGAACCCACATAGGGCCTCCAACGGCATATTTGGGAGATCCCATCAAGAATTCAAAATGTCTCGAACAACCGCTCGTTGCGCTGCCATGCCGAGGATGTCCCACCACAGGTGCATCAGGCCAAGCGTCATTCCACGTCTTACGCGTAGGTGAATCCCTTTCGTTCGGTCTAGCGCGAGCTTCGGCAAGAGCTCAACCGCTTGCTTGCCCCATCGGCCATCGGTTTCAACGGTCAAACGCTGTAATGAGCCAAGCCCGCTACTCAAGACATCATGGTATGTGTTGTTGTCGCCCACCTCAGCTCTGTCCAGCAATCGATACCCTGCATCACTCGTGCCTCCACGTGGTTGTCCCTTGCTCGTGATTGGTGATATCACCGTCGCGTCGCAAAACAATGGGAGACCACGATCCGCGCCCAAGCACGGCACGACCAAATCCGTCCTTCGCATATTTGTGGGCGCAACTGGAATATTCGTACAATTTAACAGCCACTCCACATGACGATCCAGAATGATACCACTTGCTTCGGTAAACACTTGTCTCCAAGATGCCACACCTTCTGACTGTCTCGTCTGTGTGCGGCCCCCATACCGCGACGCTAACAAGGCATATATGTATGGATCGGGACCGTCCCGCATTATAGCCAGCCCTAAACGCCTCCTGACCGCGCATAGTACTTCCGTGTTGGTGAATGTCAGGATAGCACAAGTGGGGCAGACCAACAACCACGCAGCTGTAAATGGACCCGTTGCTGAACTCAGTCGGGTTTTTCCCGCTGCACGGCGTAGTTGCTCCTGCATTGTCAGGGCAAGCGAATGGGATGCACAGTCTCCCCCTCCTCCTCCTCCTCCTCCTCCTCCTCCTCCTCCTCCTTCTCCTCCTCCTGCTCCTCTTCCTCCTCCTTCTCCTCCTCCTCCTCCTCCTCCTCCTCCTCCTCCCTCTCCTCCTCCTCCTCCTCCTCCTCCTCCTCCTCATGGCTCTGGCGGCCGCTCTCCAGCAGCGACGCTGGGCCCAGATTGCTCTGGCATCCCACCGTCGTCAATCACAATGTCGCCCTGCTTCTGCTGCTGCCAAGCATTGCTCTCCTCCGTGGCCGCCCCCGTGCAGCGCGGTCAAGCGGTACAGAGTATGCTGTCCCGTTGTTGGGAATGTGTGGTGTAAGTTTGGGAGCGAGTCCGCCCCCATGTGCCCAATACGCAGCTCTTGCCGTGGAGATAGAATCCCGGAGGCCGAATCATCCAAATCGTGTTGGTAGCCGAGCTTGCAAGATCCAATCGTCGTACCATGCACCATGAAATTGGTGATCCCAGTGTTCACGCGACGAGATTGCAAGTAATTCCTTGAACGCGTCCAAGATTGTCGTATCATGTTCCATTGCAAAGTCTTGCACCCAGCTGGGCTGGAGTAGCCAGGCCGCTTGCAAAGAGGGGAGTTGAGGTAAGAGTTTCAATAGTTGCGCCCTCTTTTTAGAGATATTCGTTCCAAAGGTTCTGATAGATTAATCGTTCCCAGATGGTGTTCTGATGAATGCATCGTTCTCACCATCCGTTCCCAAACTCATTTTTCCTGGCAGTGGGGCGTTGGCTCTCCATGCCCCGGGGCGGCCTCTTGCAAATCGCCCAGGCAATCGATTGGGTTCGGGCCACACGGCCGGAGTTTCCCCATGTGAATGTCGATGCGGCATGTGTGATGTATTGTGTGTTGTACTTCACGTAAGCACATGGAATATCGGCATCATCCAAAGATGCCAAAATCTTTATTCCAGGAGGTAAGCGGGCACGTACAGCTTGTAATGCTGGATGTTGGATGCAAGGATGTAATGTAAGCCCTGGCATTAAGGCGTCACCTTGTTCGCCGCCATCTCTTTGGAAGATGGCATGAGACTGTCTTTCTTCGTCTACGCACCAGAATGATGATTGGAATCCGTACAATTGTCTAACAAAAGGGAGCTGCTTTTGAAGCGCCACGTCTTGAAGCAAATCTTCAAACATACGAGTTCTATTGATGTGGTCGTTCGTTCCGACGCCATCCACACTGAGTATGATTTTGTTTGGATGCGCATCCATGATTTGCTGCAATGTGTGAACCACTGCATCAGTGCCACTTCTGTCGGACAGGCTGAAATGATGAGGATGAACTGCGTTTCAAAAAGCGTCTTGGAATTGTCGTGCCAACGATTTGGCTACTAAACGCCGCAAGGGAGCTGCTGCAGCGATGCCCCGTACGCGATTGTCTAGCTTGTTTATGGCAGTCAGTGCTGAAGCACGCAGAACATCGATCATTGATCGTGGCACTCGACCCCTGGCCATCTGCTCAGCAACGCCACGCAGTGTTTCGAAATTGTTCTCGTCTTCTAACCTGATTTTGTAGCATTCGAATCTCCAACGCCACAGTCCTGAACTAAGATCTTTCCAGGCCGTTCGGAGAACAGTTTCAAAAGTATGTCGATCTAGTGTAACCGGGTTCGCCGGTTGGAACGTATCCATTCTTTTCGGTAATGTTTTCGTTGAATGTTCGGGTCGGAGTCGTGGATCTTTCAGCTCGGCGAGTGTTGCCGGAGTCCCTGGAGCGAGCGTAGGAGAGGTAAGAGTCCGTGCCGCACGGTTCCACTCCCCTTCTTGGTCCAAAGTCATTGCCTTTTCAATCAGGTTTGCATCTGTGCGTTTGCTTGAAGCAGACTGGAGATAGTATTGGTCGGCTTGGGCAGTATTGCACCGCATTGAAAGCAAGATGCAACTATATGGAACCATGTTGGAGCCATCTGAGGCCTTCTTGGACGCCGTCCAGACCCAGGGAGGGGACTTCCTTTAGTATGAGAGGTCAACCCGACCGGTGGGGATGGGTCCCGTCGTCCCGTCGTGCTTCGGCAGGCCTCTAAGATGGCAGCCATGGCCTTACAGGGCCTCCTCAAGTGCCAAGATGGCGCCCTCAAGAGTTCTTCAGGCCGACCCCAAGACGCCCCCAACACGACCCAAGACGACCCCCGAAAGCTTTCCATATCGCAACCCGGTCGCGAAAGGAAGCCGTGGTTGGCAGCAAGATGGGCTCCAGAGGCCGCGAGGAGGCCTCAAGAGGCCCTGAAGAAGCCCCCAAGAGGCCTTCGAGAGGCCACCAAGAAGCGATAACAAATCCATTCCGACAGGCAAGTACCTTCTTCGCGTGGCTAGTTTTGGGGGGGGGAAGTGCTCCAACGTGGGTGGGGGGAGGAGTAAATTCCTCCCCGAAGGGGAAGGGGGCTGGAACAGGTGACCCACTATGGGATGCACTTCAAACAGCGTTCAGTCTGATATGAAGTGAACTTAAGTTAGACTTGCGAGTTTTCATTGAGTTTGACTCGGACTGTAAGCATTGAATATGCAAGTCCGTTGTGATTTGAACTTGAAGCTAAAATCCAAGTACCATATCACGCCCATTCTGGATGTTTTTGGGGTTACGTCCTTGAGAAAATCAATTGGAATTCTTGCGTCGCGCTCCAGATACATGCGCGACAGCTGCATAAAGGAGAGGAACGGGCAAGTTCGAGGCCACTCCCACCCCCAACCTCCATATCGGACGCTGGTTGGTCGCAGCGGTATAGTGGAAGGTTCATCTTATCCGCTATCCTCTGTCACAGGGAGAGGGTGCGGGGAAGGGAGCACCTGTCCTGCTTTCGATGGCGAGGAGCTCGGGGTGGCTGGTCCGTGCCCCGCGGGACTCACGTCTCCTCCCGTCCTTGCCAAGCACGCGGCGGAGGCCCCGTGGCCGTCTACACGATCAAGGGCACCAGTGAGGACCTGCATTTGGATCGTCCTGCCGCTGAGCGGACGGTCCGCCAGGGGCCCCCCTGTTGCAGTTGCTGTTGCTGCTGCTGCTGCTGCTGCTGCTGCTGCTGCTGCTGCTATTGCTTTTGCTGCTGCTTCAACCGCGGCCCCGGCACAGGTCCATCTTTGGGACATGCGTCCACCGGTGCCAGGCGTGTGGGCGGAGTGTCCAAGCCAAACAAAAATGCGTGGCGAAGGACCCAACCAAATGCAGTTGTGAGTAACGCAGTTTGTGAGTGTCGTCGTCGGTGGAGCCCCCTTATGGGGCCCCGAAACGTGTGAGGGATGTGCCCAAATAGGCGGCGGGGAAGCATGTGGAGCTCCTTAGAAGGGCGTGCGGGGTGTGCCGAAACGGGTGGCGGCGACACATGTGGGCACCACCATTGGGGCCTTCGGTGGAGCTTTTATGGGGCCACGAAATATGTGAGGGGCGTGCCGAAATGTGTGGCGGGGACGCATGTGGGCACCGACACTGGGGCCTTCGGTGGGGCTCCCTATGGGGCCACGAAACGTGTGAGGGGTGTGCCGAGATGGGCGGCGGGGAAACATGCGGGCTGCGCCACTCGGATCTTCGGTGGAGCTCCCTATGTGACCATGAAACGTGTCAGGGGTGTGCCGAAATGGATGGCGGGGATGCATGTGGACTGCGCCACTGGGACCTTCGGTGGAAGCCTGTGAGGGGTGTATCAAAATGGATGGCGGGGACGCATGCGGGCTGCGCAACTGGGACCTTCGGCGGAGCTCCCTACAGGGCCACGAAGCGTATGAGGGGTGTGCCGAAATGGTTAGCGGGGACGCATGCGGGCTGCGCCATTGGGACCTTCGGTTGAGCTCCCTGTGGGGCCACGAAGCGTGTGAAGAGTGTGCCGAAATGGTCGGCAGAGACGCATGCGGGCGGCGCCATTGGGACGCTCGGTAGAGCTCCTACGAGGGCAACGAAACGCGTGAGGCGTGTACCGAAATGGGTGGCGCGGACGCATGCCGGCTGCGCCATTGGGACTTTCGATGGAGCTCCCACTGGGGCCACGATACGGGTGGGGCCGCGAAAATTGTGAGGGGCGTGCCGACATGGGCGGCGGGGACGCATGTGGGCACTGGCGGGGACGCATGTGGGCACCGCCACTGGGGCCTTCGGTGGAGCTCCTTGTGGGGCCACGGAACGTGTGAGAGGTGTGCCGAAAGGGGTGGCGCGGACGCATGCGGGCTGCGCCATTGGGACGTTCGGTGGAGTTCCTATGGGGCCTCGAAACGTATGAGGAGTGTGCTGAAATGTGTGGCGGAGACGCATGCGGGCTTCGCTACTGGGACCTTCGGTGGAGCTCCTATAGGACCACGAAGCGTTCGAGGGGTGTGCCGAAATTGGTAGCGGGGACGCATGCGGGCTGCGCCACTGGGACCTTCGGTGAAGCTCCTATGGGCCCACGAAGCCTGTGCGGGGTGTATCAAAATGGGTGGCGGGGACGCATGCGGGCTGCGCCACTGCTTCGGCGGGCGTCCCTACGGGGCCACGAAACTTGTGCGGGGTGTGCCGAAATTGGTGGCGGGGACGCATGCGGGCTGCGCATCTAAGACCTTCAGCGGAGCTCTGGGGCCACGAAACGTGTGATGGGGTGTGGCCATATGGGACCACGAAGCGTTCGATGGGTGTGCCGAAATTGGTGGCGGGGACGCATGCGGGCTGCGCCAGTGGGACCTTCAGTGGAGCCTCTTTGGGGCCACGAAACGTGTGAGAGCTCTGCCGAAATTGATAGCGGGGACGCATGCGGGCTGCGCCACTGGGACTTCGGTGGAGCTCTGATGGGGCCACGGAACGTGTGAGGGGTGCGCCGACATGGGTGGCGGGGATGCATGCGGGCTGCTCCACGGGAACCGCCGGTTGAGCTCCTATGGGGGCCACGAAACGTGTGAGGATCGCCGAAATGGGTGGCGGGGACGCATGCGGGCTGCGCCAATGGAACTTTCGGTGGAGCTCCCATGGAGCCACGAAGCCTGTGAGGGGTGCGCCGACATGGGTGTCGGGGAAACATGCGGGCTGCGCCTCTGGGATCCTCGGTGGAGCTCCCCATGGGGCCATGAAGCGCGTGCGGGGTGTGCCGACATGGGTGGCGGGGACGCATGCGGGCTTCGCCTCTGCGGCCCTCGGTTGAGCTCTTGTGGGGTCGCGAAGCCTGTGAGGTGTGTACCGAAGTCAGGGGGGTGACGGGCGGAGGGAGGGAGAGGAGGAGGAGGAGGAGGAGGAGGAGAAGAGGAGGAGGAACGCGGGGACTGTCTCTTCAAAACGAGGACCCAACAACAGGTTGGGTGGGAAAAGCGTAACAAGATCAGATGTGGGCGACACGTGAAATTGGGAGCGGAGGGAGGAGACAGAAGGAGGAAGGGGGGAGCCAGAAGGCGGATGAGGCGGGGGCGCGGCCGTGCGGTGTGCGCCACCAAACCACCATTAGGCGCGCGCGCCCCCCCCCGCCACAGGCAATGAGAGGGGAGGAGAAGACTAAATGCAATGTGTGGGTCTGCACAGCACGCTAAGGATGCCGTTTAGGGTTCCGTTTATTGGGTTGGTCGCACACTTTCCCCTTCCTTTGCAGGCGCATGGACCCGCAGACCGAAATACAGACGCATGGGCAGGCACAAAGCAAGAACGAGGGCCAGCTTCGGAGAGAACGAAGAGGAGGAGGAGGAGGAGGAGGAGGAGGAGGAGGAGGAGGGGGACCGCAGGTATTATGCCGTCCTCCATGTTCTTCTCATGTGACTTTTCTTTCTTCTCAACATTATTCGCCTCAGTATCCGTCAGCACATCCCGCCACTATGCTGGATGTCCATAATATATCCCATCATCTCTTCTTACCCCCATCCACACATTCGCATACCTGTCCCATGCATCCATCGATAGGTGATGGTTTCGTTTCCCCTTAGTCGTTCCTGGCTGCTGCGGCTGACCCCGTAGCCAGGAGCACTAAAGGGAAGATCGCGATGCGTCTGAGGAAGCAGCACTGCGACGTTTTTTTGCGTGGCGTGGCCGTCACGTTCCATGATCATGGTTTTACTTCTTGATGGGGAGCATCTCAGAGGCGTCCTGCGGGAGAGGGGGGTCTGAGGGCCTCGTGGGCCACAGTGAAGACCCGTCTGGGGTCGGCGGATCCTTGACGTTCCGCATATCCCCACCAGCCACGCACGAGGGATAGGAGGCTCCGCCCACAGTTCCGCCCCTGCCTGGCCCTGGAGCTGGCCTGGGGTACCGCACGACCTTCAGCAAGGTCGCACCTGCACTACCCGTTTCGCTGCCGTTGGTCGCTCCTCGGCCCCACTGTCTCCTCGCCCGTGGCATCGCATCCCGCTTCTGTTCGGGACCTGATGCGCATTTACGACAAGTATTGGGAATGCTGGAAGGTGCGGGCGATCTACTACTTGTTCCAAGGCTGAGCCGTGGCTTCTGCCCTTTCGGTCTCTTCCTTGTCTTTCGTCGCCTCGCCTCGCGTTCTTCCCTTGTTTCTTTTGTTCGCCCTCGCCCCTGCCGCGTTGCCGCTGTGCTCCGCTCGGTAGTTTTCGCCGCCATCGTGGCCCTTTTCCTGCGCCCCGCCTGCGACAGCACCGGCTTGCTCTCTTCACGCGACTTCCCGACGCCGCGCGGGTGCCCGCTCGCGGTCGCGATCCAAAAGTATCCCCGCCAGCCCATCCAAAACCGACGCCCAGGCGAGTTGAGACGATCAGGGAAGTGCAGAAGCAAAGATAGGGACAGCCGTCAGCGTTCGAGGGAGGAGGAGGAGGAGGGGTGAGGGGGGAGGGAAAAAGGTGATCGATTTGCTGATGATGAGGAGGAGGAGGAGGAGGAGGAGGAGGAGGAGGAGGAGAGGAGGAGGAAGGAAGAGGAGGAGGGGAAGGAAGGAGGAGGAGGAGAGGAGGAGACGAGGAGGAGGAGGAGGAGGAGGAGGGCAAAAGGAGGAAGGAGGAGGAGAACGCGGAGAACGACGACGAGGTGGAGGTGGGGGAGGAGGGAGGAGGGGGGAGAAGAGGAGGAGGAGGAGGAGGAGGAGGAAGAGGAGGAGGAGGAGGAGGAGGAGGCGGATGAGGATGAGGAGGAGAAGGCAGAGAAGGAAAGGGGCGAGCAGAAAAGCCAGACGCCTCTTGAATGCGATGCCCCCGGGGCGTCTTCCGATGTTTGTTTGAGGTTTTTTCGGGGGGCCTCTTAGGGCGTCGGGGGGGACTCGTGGCGGGCCCCGGAGCGATTTTGAGCGTCTCGGGTGCCGCTGGGATCCTTCTAAGGCCTCTTACGCGTCTCTTGGGAGCCTCTTGGAGGCGCCTTGGGCGCCTATTGGGGCCGTCTGGGCGTTTCTTGGGGCCCTCTTGGTGCGTTTTTTGGAGCCTCGGGGCGCTCTTGGGGCCATCCCGCAGGAGATCGATCAAAGAAGGGGGTGTTCTTAACTAGGGCCTCGCCTCTGGAACCTAAAAAAACATGTTGTGGACTCTTCTTGGAACGCTCTTGGGGCGTTATTAAGCGCTCTTGGGGCCGTATTGGTGCTCTCTTGGGCTTCTGCTGGGGCTCTTTGGGGTCAGCATGGAGCCATCCTGAGGCTTCGGAAGGCAATCGGAAGCGAGCGGGCGAGAAAGCAAGAGTCATCGATTATCCTTCGGTGTTAGAAGGATGTTGGCCTCTTCGGGGCCTTTTTGGGGAACTGTTTGGCCATTTGGAGCCGTTTTGGGGCAGTCTGCGGGCATCTTGGTGCATCTTGGAAGCAAGATTGAAGCATATTGGGTTATCTTGAGCTTCCTTCAGGGTCACCTTGGGATCTCTGAGGCCCTCTTGGAGCCGTCTTGGGCGAAAAAGTACCCTCTGACACCTCGCGACCGCCCTCGTCCAGGTTCAGGGCAGGGGGTAGGGGAAGGGGCAGACCGATCCCCGAAGGGGAAGAAAGGTGGTTGGAAGCCTTGTCTCCCCAGACCACCTACGCCCAGAGGGCTGGTGGGATTCGAATGGGCGTATGTAGACCTCGCATTTGTACAGCCTGCACAGTGGTACCAGTGCCACGCGTGTCGCGCCGTAGCCACGCCTACTAACAATGCCGCTGACACACCGAACGCTCTCATGCATGCCAAGCTGCATGGAGACACGGAACTCATTTCTCCCAATCAGGACGTCGTTATCGCCGAAGTCGGCCCAGGGGACATGTAACTACACGGCTGAGTTTTTGAATGACATCCAATCAGCCGGATTTGCTCCCCCCATGAGCTCCGTCTGCGATAGGGGTTGTTGGTAATATTGTTGCGAAAGTTAGCTCCGCACCGAGGTTTGTGCAACGGAACGCGGCCCGTTGTAGAAAGTAGCCGACTAATCTCTGGCATTTGCGAGCGGACCCGTCGAGTTGCATTGCAGTTTCAGTTTGGCGCTGAGCTTGTCGGCCGAGGCGCGCGCCCCAGGAGCCCCGCGAGGATGCTTCCCCAATGTTTCATGCCGCCGTCGGCTCACTGCGGACGGTACCGCACTTGCCGGGCTGATCACCTGTGCCGCCCGCACCAGCTTGGGCCAAACAATTGTGGACGTTAGGCTCCTGGCGCGAGGCGAAAAGGTTACGGAGCAGGAAGAGGAGGAGGAGGAGGAGGAGGAGGAGGAGGAGGAGGAGGAGGAGGAGGAAGCGAGGAAGAGGGGAAGAGAGGAAAGGGGAGGAGGAGGAGGAGGAGGAGGAGGAGGAGGAGGAGGAAGAGGAGAAGGAGGTGGGGAAGGCGGAGGGGGAGGAGAAGGGAGGCCGCCCACGAGACCTCGACGAACATCGCAGATGCTTCCGACACCCATCGCAGGCACCACGGTGGCCTGCACATATGGACACCAGCGCCGTGCATGCGGAGCTATATTCATGTGCATGCACGCCGCTGGCAGCAGCGGCGGTAGACGTGATCGCCCCTCCCGTGTGTGTGTGTGTGTATGTCAATATACATACATACATATACAGATGTGCATGCACGCACGCATGCAGACAGACTTACATACACATAATCCGCGATGTGCGCCACGCCGGCCATGGAAATGGAAATGTTCGTAATCGTGGTCGTGGTCACGGAGGTCATGGCGGAGGCCGCGGTCGCGAGAGTGGCGTCGGTAGCGAAGGCAGCCGTAGAGCAGCTGCACCTAGAACCTGAGCGCGCGTGGTTCTCTAGTGTGCGGGTTCACACACACACACACACACATGTCAATGTGTACGTATGTCTTGAGATGTGTGTGGCACGTGCTTGCACTTGTTCAGGCGCCGAGGGGGGCATCGAACGTTCGGCCAGAAGGTTGATCTACCAAACGTAGCCATGCGCGGAGGTATGGTGTCGACCATGCGTTTGGCACGCGTGCATTTGGCAGGTGTTTTCACGCCGGCAGGCGCAGTGCGGCAGCCGCCTGCGGGCGGTTTCCGCGACGCGCCGCGTCGCCATTTCAGAGGGAAACAACGGATGCGGAGCAGAAGGGAGGGGGGGAAGAGAGGGGCACCAGCAGGGAAGAGGGTGGAGGAGAGGAGGAGGAGGAGGAGGAGGACGAGGAGGAGGAGGAGGGGGAGGGGGAAGCAAGAGAAGAGGGAGGACGAGGAGGAAGAGGAGCAGGAGGAGGGGAATGGGCACAGGAGGAAGGGGAAAGAAGGAGGAAGATGAATGAGAAGCTCGGGGGAGGAGGAGCAGGAGGAGGAGAGAAGGAGGAGAGGCGAGGGAGGAGGATGAGGAGAATGTGTACACCACAGAAAGAGTGCAACCTAATCCATACAACAGCATGCCAAAACATGGCAGTGCATATATGTGCATAGATCGATATATGCTCACGTGCATGGCGTCGAGATTGTAAACACGTATGCCACAGCATGCGTATGAAAGTCGCGTTAAAATGACAACGTGTTTGAGTGTCTGTCCGGGATCGAGGATCCTTCAAGTTGTTTGCGAACTATGTTGGTGGGTCGCAGGGTGAATCGTGGGATGGGTCGCGGGAGGGTCATGGGTGGATCCCGGGTGAGTCCTGGTTGGGCCCCAGGAGGGTCGCGAGAGAGTCGCGGGTGGATCGCGGGGGGGGTCACGGGTGGGTCGCGGGGAGGGGCACGCGACAATTGCGAGATTCCGCATTGCGAAACCCCGTGTCGTCCACGCACCCAGGGAGTGTGTAGACTGTTAGGCCACTTCACCCTGATCCGCATACAGTCGTGTATCTGGTTATACATGTATATACATACACAGATATGCACAAACGTACGTACGTACATTCGTACATACAGATGGTATACACATGTCGTTGTCTGGATATGCCGCTACCCGCACGCTTCTCATGTGGATGTTTTGGCGCGGGATGCCCAGGTCTCCTTATTCGGGCCCATCAGCGGACGAAGCCCAACGGACGACGCGCGTTCATTGGCGAAGACTGGCATCTTAGGCGCCCTGCTCGGCAAGACTGGGCCCCGGCTATCCATCAGGACGCACGTTGTGTCTTCAAGCGCCTTATTATCTCTTCCAGCTTTTGGTTTGTTTCCCACACCCATGCGTCATACCCACCCAGCCCACATATCCCCCCCTGGTCCGTTCGGTGTCCCCTTGTTTCTCCCCGTTCTGCTCGCAATGCACGCTCATGTTCGAGTGCCCAACAATGTGTACGTGGATGTGCCCACAGACCGAGCACACGATTCCGCAGATTGCAGTGGCGATTCGAGCAGCACGTGGCGCCACACACTTGCAGCTGCCAGAGGTACACGCAGCCTGCAGAGGGAGGGGCAGCGAGAGGGGAGAGAGGAGGTATGCTCAGGCCTCGGACCCCGCTCCGCCCCTTTCCGCCCAGAGGCAGCTTGCCCCCTCCTCCTCCTCCTCCCCCTCCTCCTGCCCCTCCTCCTCCTCCTCCTCCTCCTCCTCCTCCTCCTCCTCCTCCTCCCCCTCCTCCTCCTCCTCCCCCTCCTCCTCCTCCTCATCCTCCTCCCCCTCCTCCTCCTCCTCCTCCTCCCCCTCCTCCTCCTCCTCCTCCTCCTCCTCCTCCTCCTCCTCCTCCTGCACGACCCGACATCCCCTTCTGCACGGTGTCCGCTGTGGCCCATTGGAGACGCGCCCACACGCCGAGGGTGCACGGACACGCCAAGAGTTTGCGTGAGCGCCCAGGCTGGAGGAGGCGGAGGGGGACGGAGGGACGGAAGGACGGAGGGGAGGGGGGGACGAAGGAGGAGGGGGAGGGGGAGGAGGGGGAGGAGGAGGAGGAGGAGGAGGAGGAGGAGGAGCAGGAGGAGGAGGAGAAGGAGGAGGGGGACACGCGCAAATGGGGTGGGAGGGAGAGAGGGAGGGGCAGAGGGGCGGAGGGAAGGGGGCAGACAGAGACGGGGACAGATGGACTGGGGCATGACGAGGACAGGGCGTACTGATTCGCGGCCATCCTCCCCATCTTCATTCTCCCGTCTCCCTCATCTCTCCCCTTGTCCCTCTGTCAACTCTCCTCTCTCTCTCTCTCGTATTGTCACTCCTCCCTGCTCCAGCGCCACCCTGTTACGTGTTCGCCTTCCCTCGCCCCCCTAGCGTTCGTCAGAGACAGGCCTCTGGACCAAAGATTTGTTGAAACAGGACGCCACGACGGCTTCCTCGGGAGTACGTGGCGGCGACGGAATTCGAGAAGATGCTGCGCGAGATGGGAGTGCGGCCGGACGAGACAGAGTTTGCCAAGGTTTGGAGTTCGACATGTTTTGAATTGAAGCGTGATTTGAGAGTTTACGGGCGGACAGCCAGAACCGCTCGGGGAGGGCTACGGAGCAGGGCTGCGCTTGATAGCATGCACTGGCTTAGAGAGCGCACGTGATACGGGAAGCAATGATACCCTGGAAGTTGGGTACATGACGCGGCCAGCCTTGACGAGAGTTGGATACACATGAAGCCGCATTTATTTCCAGCGCTCTACCCTTCTGGCACTGGGTACGTTGGCCCGCCCTTCGCTTACTTGATAGTGTTGCTCATTCCGCCGGCCCATCTTGCACCACTGTTGCTATTTATTGGTGTGCCCATGGCGGGAGAGATTGAGGGCAGGGGACTCGATAGGGGAGGAGGGCGGAGGAGGAGAAGGAGGAGGAGAAGGAGGAGGAGGAGGAGGAGCAGGAGGAGAAGGACGAGGCCTCTCGACGGATTCTTGGAGCACTGTGGGGACCAATTGGGTCGCGAACAAGACGCCTCTTTGGAGGCGTTTTGTGCTCTCTTGGGAGGTCTCTCGGGCGCCTCTTGGCGGCATATTTGGGACCTACTTGGGCTTCTGGGGGCCTCTTGAGTGCTTCCTGGCGGCCTGCTGGCGGTCTCGGAGGCCAACTTTCGGGGAAGGCTCGATATGTCTGTCGGGGTTCCCCTTCTTGGGACCCTCACGGGAGCCTCTGGGGCCCTCTGGGGAGGCCTCTTGGCCCGTCTTGGGGCCCCCTTGGGCCATCTTAGGGCCATCCTGGGAGCCTCCTAGGCTGACTTGGGGCGATCTTGGAAGCCTCTTGGAAGCCTCTTGGGCCGTCCTGGGCGTCCGGCCAGAAGCCTGAAAGGCGGCAACTCCAACCCCCCCCCAAAACCCACGTCAAATCCATGAATTGTGCCTTTTTGGACCCTCTTGGGGTCGTCTTGGAGTCCTCCTGGGGCGTCTTGGGCGCCTCTTGGGCCGTCTTGAGGCCAACTTGGGCCATCTTGGAACGCTCTTGGCCTGAGGCCGTGGGGCCTGCCACTTGTTTGGCGTCTCCTGGGGGTGCTCCTGGGGAACTCTGGGGGCCCCCAGGGCTGCGCCCAGGAGCTCCCGCGTCCGTGACCCGACGCTGCCGGGAATTTGCTGGGGCACGTGTCGCCCGGGGACCCCCCGGGACCGCCACGCGCGCGCGAATTACAAACATTCTGAAACTCTTACCAGAGATTTAGCCCGTCGCTGGCCCGTTGGGCCGGCGAATGTATTAAGCGCGTGGCCTCTGGATGTTCCACATGTTAATCCAGTCATGTGTGTTCCCAGCTTTCTAGTAGAACGTGCATGCGCATCAGAGTCGCAGTGCGCGATTCCTGAGGGCATGAAGGAGACATCGCACGTGAACGTACATGGTTGACCGACTGTTGATGTTGGAACAAGCTTGCTTGGCAAATAGTCATTATAGTCTCCAGGGCGGACTGCGACGATTCCGCTGCCTGGGAAGATGTTGCCGTCCTTGGGCAGACTTCCCTGAGAAGGCGGAGGATGATTTTCAAGTTTGGTTCCACGAGCACAAGACCTGCAGGAATGTTGTCAAGCGCCTGGCGTACCACGCAACGATACTGGCCTCGATGAGTGTCTTCGAGTTTGTGTATCTGCTGTACCTCTTTGAGGCGCTGGACATGATGCAAGTGTACATCTTGTGCCGCATTATCTGCTGCGTGATATTATTCGGCGCGCGGGCAGTGATGATCCACTCTCGGTTGGGTCCGTCTCGCCACCGTCGCGTCAGCACGAGCGTTGCAGCTGTGGCCTGGTCGCGTTGGCTGTTATCCAGGATGCCTGGCGGTGAGCCGAGGCCTCGCCCTTTCCGCCCCCTGTCCTCTTAAGGTTCCTCCTCCTCCTCCTCCTCCTCCTCCTCCTCCTCCTCCTCCTCCTCCTCCTCCTCCTCCTCCTCCCAGTCCCTCCTCTCCCATCTCCGTCTCCCCTCCTGCCCCCGAAAATTCATCTCGCTGGCAGCATCCTGCGCGCTGCAGTGTAAACACCCTCTGGTCCGTGGCGGCCGAAGTTCAGACGCATGCTCCTCGCGTCCAAAAGGCAGGGGCCCAGCTTCCACCCCTGGCCATGTTGGGGCAGTGCAGCCGACCCCCCTTCCCTGGACCGTCACGCTGCACGAAGTGGAACGTCTCGCCACCAATCGGGATGGCAAAAAGAGCGGTAAACAGAAAATAGCGGGGTCTGGGTACCTCATCGCCGGCCACAGAGGCGTGCTCGAAAAGTTGGAACTGATCGATGTGATGTCCTCGCCCTCTAGCCAAAGACTACGTGGTGAGCCAGTAGCCCCACCCAGAACCTCCACAAGCCCTCGGTCGGGATGATGACGCGTGGGCTCCGCGCAATTCCGGGGTGACCCACGACTCTGGTGTTGACGGGTTCACTCAGGTGGCGAAGCGTCTGTGGCATGCCCGATTGCTTGCAAATTGTGGGCCGCAGGAGGATACGACACAATGTAACATTCCCATTGTTGCGCGCTTGGGCTGGCGAGTTTGGCAAGCACGCTGCCCACTATCTCTGCTGCTCCTCCTCCCATCCTATCCCTCGTTCACTCCTCCCGCATTATGTGTTCGACATCGCTGGCGCGTGCTTGCAGCGCGCCCGTGTTCTTACAGGCCACGGCATATTGCACGAGCTTGTTTGTCGCAGGTCGGGTGCAATGTGGCGCTCCTGGCCTGCCTGGCGGCATTTTGGTTCGCATTGTATTTACCGCAACTTGAGTTGATTTTGGATGGCGCGTTCCCCGCTCCTTCTCATTCCTGTTCCTCCTCCTCCTCCTCCTCCTCCTCCTCCTCCTCCTCCTCCTCCTCCTCCTCCTCCTCATCCTCCTTCCGTAGCCATCTTGGCTCAAGTACGAAGCCGTGGCCCTGCGGCTTCGTACTTGTCTGCAGCCGAGGGGCTGGCTCGAGGCGAGCTGCCCCACGGCAGGTGTTCTTTCTCTCGCGATCTCGACAAGCGTCAGTGTCTGCGGCACCCGCCCCTGGGCTGCAGGCGCTGCTCTTCTGCCACTGCTACGTCTGACACATCTCTTCTACGGCGCGCCACGGCAACATGCCGAGCGATGAGGCCTCTGACCCCTCCAGGAGCAGCGGGGGAGTCTCTGCTCGGGACCGCCGTGCGCGCCGCCGCCGTAAAGAAGACAAACATCGACGTCGTCGCCAGAATCGGGACTACTCAGCTTCACGTTCATGCAGCGGGAGCTCTCGACATGGCGGCCGTACCTCTCCTCCAACCCAGCGTCGTGGTGCAAGCGTTCCTCCTGATGTTCGCGGTGGCCACCGTGGTCCTGGCGCTGTGGAGGCTGGTCCACGTCTCACGCCAGCCATGGCCCATGATATCGAGATGGCGGCGACCTTCCCCGACCACGAGCTGGACGAACCTCACGCAGCTGACCCACTTCGAGGCCGTGCTGATCTTTGGCGCGGCGCTGCGCGCCCCGAGGCAAGCTGATTGGGCACAGCAACCTACCTGTCCCGGGCTTAGGCACGCACTACAACGCCCGCATCTCTACGACGTTGTCCCACGTTGCGCAGTACCACCCCATGCCGAAGCGGTTTCTCAAAGGTGCCTTGATCGCCCTCGCCCGCACTTTCCGCGCACCGACGGGCGCCTTCAGCATCGCGATCGGCGGGTGGGCCGTTGATCTCTTCGCGGCTGGGGATGAACGCTGGTGCGCTCCTTCGCACGGCTTACCGCACTCTACTTGAATTCTGAGCGGCTGCACGCCTGGCTACACGGGCAGCACCGTCGTCTGGGAGACGAGCCTTCTGCTTCAGCTTGCTTCGGCGCGGCCCAACCTCGTCTTCTGGTGCAGCGAGGCCTTCGTCGAGACCCTCGACAACGCGGCGCGCGGCCAGGCCTCTTCAGTGGCTGATTCGCCCAACGTGCTTTGCGTCGCTAGACGTGCCGCGATTGGGTCGAGGGATGGGTTCACTCGCTGGTCGAGGGATGCAGAGGGCGGTCACCACGCAGGCTCAGCGAGTCCCGGCCCCTCCTCGCCCGCCGGGACTGCACCGCGGGGCTGCTCGCCATGGCCGACTCAGACATTCTCGGGAACGGCGCCGCCACGGTTCCTCGGTCTCGCTGGCGCGACACGTGCAAGTACTTGCGCGGGTGCGCTGCCGCCCGGGCTCTCGCAGACCTGCAGACAGCGGCGGTTGGCGACCTCTCACCGCATCCTGGGGGGGCGCGGGCGAGGCGGCCCTGTCGCTCTGGCTGCCGCGATGCCCCCGACAGGCTGCAGCACGACCTTTGCCGCCCGAGGTTCACAGGGCAAGTCGAGGGCGCCGCGGGACATTCCCGCCCTCGACACCCCCCAGGCCGCCCGGGGCTCATCGGCGGCGCGGCGGAGCTAGACAAGATGGCCCTGAACATCGCGATCATGCCCTTCTGGCCGCTCATGCTGCGCCGACGGGTACACGTTTCTCCTCGTTCGCGCGGGCCCGCGTTCTTGCTGCTCTACGATTGGTCTAGCCGGGTGCGAAGTCGCCTGCCTGTCTTCCGCTGAGACCTAGCATGGCGGCCTACATGCCCAAGTCTGCCGTGGGCGCTGGCTCCTCCTCCTCCTGCTCGGCATTTTCTTCGTCTTCGGCCACTTCGCGCAGACCTAGTACTTCTTCCTTTGCAAGCAGCCCTACTACGGAGTCACACAGTTCCCGGCCATCCCCAAGCACGAAGAAACGCGCCTTTGCCGATGCCGAACTCGAGTGGTGGAGCCTCGATGGCGACGTGCTTGATGTCGCTGAGTACGATGCTCTCCCTGCTGGTCGCCACCCATCGCCCTCTTCCCGTACCTCGCCTTTTTCAACCTTTGCAGCGTCATTTGCGCCGGCACATCCGCCAGGCCCGCTCGTCTCCGGGAGCGGAGAATCCCCCCTGGGGAGGGGGGGTCATCGGCGTGAGCAGAGATTCTTGCACGGCGTCCTCGGCGTCGGCTACGATGGAGTTGGACACGGCCAGTGGGGTTAGAACCCAAATTCCCGCGCATTGGGCGTTGCCCCTTGCTACCTCTTCAATGTCGTTTGCGCCGGCGCACCCGCCAGGCCCGTTCGTCCTCGGGAGCGGCAGATCTCTTTCGGGGAGGGGCGAGGTCATCGGCGTGAGCAGAGATTAATTGCAAAAAAAAACCCGATGAACGAAGGATTGCAAAAAAAAACCGATGAACGAAGGAGTTTTTTGCAATCCTTCGTTCAAGGGTTTTTTTTTGCAATCCTTCGCACCGCGTCCTCGGCGTCGACTGCAGCGGAGGCGGGCATGGCCAGTGGGGTTAGAACTCAAGTTCCCGTGCCAGTCCAGTTGGGCGTTGCCTCGGGCCCCGTCGCCTCGCGTTTTGCGAAGGATTTTTTGTTTTGTTTGTTTTGTTTGCTGTTTTTGTTTTTTTTGTTGTTTTTGGGTTTTTTGCAATCCTTGGTTTTTATTTGTTGGTTTTGTTTGTTGTTGTTTTGTTTTGCTTTTTTTGTTGTTGCTGTTTTTTTTTGTTTTGCAATCCTTTGGACGCAAAATCCCTGGCCAGTGCTGCTGGACGCCGTCGCGGGTTCTCTCGATTCACGTTTTTGCTGTTGCGTCTGACTTACGGGCGGCCTCGAGCATCATGTACCCTCGGAGCGGCCCCGCTGCCCCCTGCTCTAGATGCCCGTCGTCGCCGCCCAGAACTTGCCAGTCGAATGTCTCACTGGGCTTCAAAGGCCCCCGGCGCTCTATTGCGACATGCTTGCGGACAACTTCCTCTCGTGACTCGACTGCTGCGTGGATTGCCTCTTCCACATCCTTCTGTCGCGAATCAAAAAGTCAACCTTCCCTCCGCCATGAGGCTTGGCGGCCGAAGGGATCTGTCTGGCCGAGCGGCACAGGTCGGCCATCCCGCGGAAGTGGCCACATCGTCCATTCCAGGAACGCCTTCCTGATAATCCATCGCCCAGCTTGATGCGGCATGCTCGCCACCTGGTCCGCCGCCACAAGCAGGTGCTGGGATGGAGAACTGACCCCTCGCGCATAGCCCTCGACGCGCGGGCCGCGCTTCTCAGGTGGGCGGTGGACGAGGGCACGTGGCCGCGGCGAGCCACATCCCGACCCTCGCCTGCACCTAACCCGCCTCTGGTTCCTCCCTACTTCACGTGGGAAGACCTGGACGTGGACCCGCTGCCCGCGGAGTTGCGCTCGATGCCGCCCCCCTCACCATCGTTCGAGTAGGCCGCCATGGACGCCATCGACGACGCCCCCCCCGCTCGACGACGAGAACATGTCCAACCGCAAGTTCGACCTCATCTTCGGCCCTGTGCCCCCCCTTCCCTGGGAAGGCCCTGGGGACGCGCCCCTGCCGCGGGCGCCCGCCCTACGCCCCTCCCGGCCAGCGGGCAGTTCGCCAGACCCCGCGCCGGCGGGTGGCGAGGCTGATGTTCTCGCCCGGTCGGAGCCCACGCCGGAGACTGGTGGAACGATGCCGCCGAGTGCCAATGGCTCGCCTGGAGACATCGTTCGCCCTACTACTCATGCCGCGCTGCAAGGTGCCCTCGACGCACTCGTTCGGGGCTCTGGGGTTCCTGATCCAACTCTTTCTGGAGCTGATAGTGGACCTGATGACCCTGGTGGCGATGTAGACTCCGACTACCTGGGCCTGGTGGCGATGCAGGAAGTGGCGGAGGAGCAGGACGGCTACGACCTCGGCTCGCTCGCGCCCGTCTTCCCCGACTCCTGCCCGCGGGGCGCCGAGTTCCTCGTGGAGCCACTCGTCGTCTCGTCGTGGACGAGGCCATCTCCACCGCGGAGCCCGAGCCTATCGCCGCCCATTCCGACGGCCACCCGAAGTTCGACGTCAATCTCGTCGACTCCGCCTGCGTCAACCTGGACTTCAACGAGAGCCCGAGTTGCTCGGCGCCGCCGCGCCCGCGGCGTCCGTAGGCGAGGTCGAACCGCCTTCAGGGACGTTCGCTGCTCCTCCCCCTCCTCGAACCGCCTTCAGGGCAGATATTCCCCACCACCCCCGCGCAGAAAGTGTGACCCGAGCTGTGTTCGAGCCAGCGGTTCTGCAGCCGCCGCCCTGCAAAACGATTGCATTGCCGAGCACGGTCGGTGGCTCGCGAGTTCTGCTAATTGCGCACGCCGGCAGCAGAAGTTCAGACTTGATTTGTGTCCATGGTGTGCTGCTGGAGCTCCCCCTGCGAGGGCACCCCTTGGGGGCTGCGCGCGCGGGGAGGGCGGAAACCAGGAGCGGGCGGGATTCGGGGATCCCCAAGCCAGCCCTCCCTCCCAGGTGCCCTCTGCCCCGTCATCCTCCCCATCCTGCTTCCCCACCGGCACTCCTCGTTCTCCCCCTCACCCCTCTGCACTCTTCCGCCACCTCCTTCTCCCACTCTCCCCACTCGTCTGCGCTCTCTTTCCCCACCATAACTCGCACATGCACTTTCTCTGCGCTCCTCCTCCTCAGCATCGGTGCGGTGGGAAGGGGCCGGGGACGGGCTCGCGGAGTGTAAAGGGCGACACCAGTGATAATTGACAGTGTGTCCCGTCATGTGTCGCGTTCCAAGGCAGCCTCCATGGAGGAGAAAACGTGGTAATGGTTGGGCACGGTACTGATGAAACTCGTCGAGTGGGGTTCGTGGAATGGGATGGGCGGTTCCGAGAAGATACAGCACGCACTCCAATAGTCGAGTCTACTTGGACAAGCTGCGCGTGACACGCAGGCAGGTGCCATGCTCGGAACGCTGACTGATCCAGATCTCGAGGTTCCCGCCTACTCCTCAGAGCAGCCCAGGATCGCCTGGCCCATTCACGGCGAATGCGTCATACTTCATTGGTTTTGCTTCAGTTGGTAGAAGTGATTCTCCCCTAGTGGGGGAGAATCAGATCATTGTTGTCGGTCCAGTAGCTTGGTGGACCCCCACAGTACTGGACCGACAACAATGATCTGATTGCGCATGTTGGTGTGAAGACACGGAATGAGATTCCATGCATGTTGTTTGGGGTGTTCGAAGCCCCCGCGTCAAGACCCGTGGAAGGGGACAGGGGGAGGGATAAACTCCTCCCCGAAAGAGAACAAGAGGTCGATTTGGAAGTCCGCGTGCCCTCAACCACCTACATCCAGAGCACGGATGCGATCAACGAGAATGTGCACAGATATTTCGGCTCAAACGTGTGTTCCTCGACTGCTCATTGTAAGGCTTGTTATCCCCAGCATCGGCCCTACTTGCCCATCTCAACGCACGATACTGCAATGCTGCGCCGCACCCTTAGCGCACATTATGCAGTCCGTCAGCGCCGCCGTGTCATTGGAGTATGTACACTTGGCGCCAGGCTCCCGTTTGGCGCTTTAGGGCGGAAGACTCGATCGTGGTAAGGTTTGCTTTGTTTCTGGAGGTGCTCGAGCTGCACGGCCTTTGCTTTGCGAGCGGCGTCGTGGAAGAGAAGTTGGACTAGGCAAAGTCCTGCAGATGTCCGCGGTTGATCAGAATGTGTTGATCGAAGCGTTGGAGTTGTCGAATACTTCGTCGAAAGAGTGGGAGGTTTAGGAGTGTGACATGTGGAAGGCCTCCAGGGCAGCTTCGTGGACCACTGACGTCCCAGGTGCCCCCTCCCGAGATTCAGTGTGAGGGGCCAGTGTTCGTCAGGTGCGCAGCACCGCCTCGAGTGGCGGGTGTGAAGTCTTGCTGCTGGAGAGAATGTGATGGACTGGGCCCTGCAACACTCGCACGCCCAGGCTCTCCCACACCCAGGGGTCGGCGGATTGGGGTCGATCTGCAGTGTGGCAACCCTCCTGTTTATATCGTATGATTCTCTAATTGTGCCTTACGAAAATTGGCGGGAGTCTGAGTTTAGTGGGAAGGCGACGTATGTTCAAAGGGTTCGCGCGCCCCCTGGAAAGGGGATATCGAACAACATTTCGCTGTTGATGTTTTTCCCCGTCTACGCATTGGCGATAACGGCGTATGAGTTCCCGTGTCGTTATGCCAGTATTTTCCTTGTCCTAACGATGGTGCTTATGTGGTGCGTCCATGAAACAGTGCGTTCACTGAGTGCATTGCCATTGGAATTTGGGCAAAACGTCATGGTGTATTACGCCATGGTTATTGTCATTGAGGCTTTACTGAGGGAGGGAGAGGAAGAGGATGATGGACATCCAGGGAGGAGGGAGACAGGAGGTGGGAGGAGGAAGAAGCGAGCAGAGAGGAGCGAGGATAAACGAGATAGGAGCGAGAACTGAAGTGGAAGGAAGTAGAGGGGGAGGGAGACGGAGGCTGAAGGAGGGTGGAGGTAGGAGAGCAGTAGGAAGAGGGAGGAGAAACTCAGGAGGAGGAAGGAGGGAAGTACATGACCAGGGATGGCGAGGGCGGAGGTTGGAGAAGTGAGGACTGCAGACAGACGAGCGAGGTGGGAGGAAAGAGGACGGGGGGCAGAGAGGATGGAGTGGAGAAACGTGTCTTCCAATCCTGTTTTATCGTCCCTTGGCTCCGCGTGCCTCTCCCCTCGCTGCATCTTTCTTGCCTCCTCCATCCAGTATCCTTCCTTCTCGCCCTCTCCCATTCCGCCCACCCCACACACCGCCAACCCACCAACCCCACCTCTCACGTCCTTCGCCGCCGTTCCCCATTTACCAGAGGTGATGCCGAGACCAAGGCTCCACTCCTGAGCGTTGTTGGTGCAGGAGGGGCGGCTTGCAACGCTGAAGCGAGAAAGCCCCTCCTGGGTGAAAAACGAAGTGCCAATGTTGTTGCATAGCTGGTTTTCGGCGGTGCTAGGTCGAAGCGAAGTATAACGTGAGGAAGTATCGAGAAGGAGCGCCGAGTTCGAATGTTGAAAGAATTCTTTTGCACAGTGCACCTAGAAAGGGAAGAGAGGACGGATGGAAGGAAGGGACAAGGGGGAGAGAGGAGCATCGAGCACGAGAGAGAGTAGCAGGCGGGGGCTAGGAGCAGAAAACACGTGGCAGAACCAGACGGGCTGATCGGGCGAGTAAACCCTGACAGGCGGGCCCAGGCGGCCAGGTCGAGCAGGCGGGTTACTGAAGCGTGAATATTGCATGGATCGTGAGGAAGCCTTGAGCGACAGCGCGATTCCAAAATGAGATCGTGAGGAAATCCCAAGCGAGAGCGTGATTCCTGAGTGTCGAGGGCGCGGCGCCTGAATCAATTGCAAAGAAGTCCAAATCGACAGCGCGATTCCTGAGCGTCTGAATAAATTGCGAGGAGGTATCAGGCGAGAGCGCGATTCTTTGATAAATTGCCCAGAGGTCCCTAGCGAGAGCGCGATTCTTCAATACATTGCAAGGAAGTATCAGGCGGGAGCCGCTGTTGTTGTAAACTGGGGGCCAAGGGCACAGTTTGAGCAGGAAGATCTTCTTTTGTAAAGACACAGCGAGCCCCGGGAGGGGCATTTCAATTCCAAAAACAACATATGTTACGCGCGTGCGCGAGTCCTGTATATTTGGCCAGGAAATCTCAGGCGAGAGCGCGATCCCCATGTAAATTATGAGGAGGTCGCAGGCGAGAGCGCGATTCCTGCATGTCGAGCGCGTGGCGCCTGAATAATGCGAGGAAGTATCAGGCGAGAGCGCGATTCTTCAATAGATTGCGACGAAATATCCAGCGGGAGCCGTTGTTGTTGTAGTCCGGGGGCAAGAGGCGCAGTTTGAGCAGGAATATCTGCCCTGTTAAAAACAGGGTGCGAGCCCCGGGGGTGGCATTTCAACTGAAAACACACATGTTACCAGAGGGGGATCAACAACAATTATTCTTCAATAGTGAGAGTTCAACAACAACAACAACAACAACAGCAATAACAACAACAACAACAACAACAACACATAAACGGCAGCGACAACAACAACAAACATATTAAGACTTCGCCCTGATCTGCGCACGTGCCATTCAATACGCATTTCCCAAAAACCCTCGATACCCGCCCTCTTCGTCTGCTATCGTACCCCCTTAGGGGTATATCTTCCTCACCTGCGACATGTATTTCATGCACCCCATACTGCAGGGGAAGAGAGGACGGATGGAAGAAAGGGACAGGGTGGAGGTAGGAGGATGGAGCACGAGAGAGAGAGAGAGTAGCAGGAGGGGGATTAGGAGCAGAAAACACGCTGCAGAACCAGACGGGTCCATCGAACGGGTGGACCCTAACAAGCGGTTCGGGAAGGCGGGCCCAGGCGGCCAGGTCGAGCAGGCGGGTTGCTGAAGCGTGCGTCCTGCATGGATCGCGAATCTCGAGCGATAGCGTTAGAGTTTCGAGCGCGAGCGCGAGCGTGATTCCTGAGTCGCGAGGGCGCGGCGTCTGAATAATTTGCGAGGAAGTCCCGCGCGAGAGCGCGATTTCTGCATCACTTGTGAGGGCGTCCCGCGCGAGAGCGCGATTTGAGAATGAACTGTGAGGAACTATCCGGCGGGAGCCGTTGTTGTTGCAGCTCGGGGGGCCAGGGGCCCAATTCTGAGACCTAAGACTTTCCCTTGTAGAAAACTGGATGCGAACTCCAGGAAGGGCACTTCAATAGAAAAATGCAATGTGTTTTGGAGAGGCGGGTCAACTAAAATCATTCTTCAGTAGTGAGAGCTCAACAACAACAACAACAACAACAACAACAACAATCATTTAAGACTGGGGACACTCCGTTCTCACCAGTGCCAGGGTTTTCATAGGAGGCGGGCAATACCCCCACTTTGTGGGGGGGCCGGTTCAAGCTCTACCAAGTTTCCAAACGACTCTTCGCCACCACCCACACCCAGCTTCCCGCCCTATGACGTTCGGACACTTCACTTCGTGGCCTGCGGACGACCTTGGCTACTACACTGGCGCATGGGTACAGTGACTTGTTGTGGTAACATTTTGTGGAAGCTAGCTTAGTATACGACTTTTCCCCCTGTTCCAACACTGGACACCTGTACCGTTTTCCGACGTTTTTCCGTTTCTGTACCACACAAGCGAAGACACTTATTTTGAGTGGTACCACGTGCGTGGCGCCAGCATACCACAGGACTTGTTTCCGTTGTTGTGAGACGATACATGCTCATTTTTGTTCTGTGGTTGTCGTTCCGGCCTCAATGTGCAATACTGGCTCATTCGTCTACGAAATACACGTGACTAGCTCTCTCTGGTTGGAGGTCCTGATGGTTGTGGTTGTCCCGATGGTTGTCGCGATGATTGTCCCGATGATTGTCCCGATTGTTGTTCCGATGGTTCTCCCGATGGTTGTCCCGATGGTTGTCCCGATCGTTGTCCCGATGGTTGTCCCGATGGTTGTCCCGATGGTTGTCCTGATGGTTGTGGTTGTCCCGATCGTTGTCCCGATGGTTGTCCCCATGGTTGTCCCGATGGTTGTTCCGATGGTGGTCCCGATGGTTGTCCCGATGGTTGTCAGCGATGCCGGATCCTCACGCCCCCCGCCGGAGGAGGAGGAGGAGGAGGAGGAGCAGGACAAGGCGCGGCGGCTCTGGACACATACGTGCTCTGGAGACATACTAAAGAGACGAGTCTTTGTGCTCATCATCTTCTGGCATACGCCTGTCTCTAATGGCACGCATCGGGCGCAATACTGCAAGCTGCGCTCCTGGCAGCAATACATCAGGGGCCAAGTGTCCAAGCATTGTGCCGATACGCCTCCTCGCGGATACATCGCCCGCGCGTGCGTGGGGCGCCAATACCGCCAGGACGCCCTGGACATGCGCCGGCATACCCAGATCCACCTGGTAATCCATGACATTCCCATACTCGGACTGCCCGAAAGAACGCCATACTGGCATGTGCCACCAATGGTCCTGCTTCGGGAAATAGGTGATACCATCCTTGACGTCGTCGGAGGCATTCCACAAAGCCATAGATGGCGGCTCCATACCCATGGATCCCGTGTGTGTTGCCACAAATACATCCAGGCTCGCCATGCGCCTGTATGACAGACCTGATACCACCTCGGAATGCACGTGAATACGCAGGAGCTGCAACAGCCTGCGCAAGCCAGCATACACCCAGCCGCCGTGCCCGACGAAGACGTGCGATCTCCAGTTCGCTATACCGGCTTGGGTGCACAGCCGATGGAATACTTCCGAAAGTGTGCCCAGATACTTCGCGGCTGAATCTGCGAAACCAGAAAAGTTGCCGAATACCAAGCCAGGGTAGAAGTATACCGCGAACGCCATCCACTCTGGGGTCTGGATGCCTCCCACACGGCGCTGGTTCTCGACCATAACTGTTCTCCTTGGACTGGCGCGTACTCTCCGGCGTCGAGAGGCAGAGGCATACACCCGTGAGTCCCTGCCACATACACGGAAAGTACACAGCAGTCGCGAACCACGTGGCCACACAGCAGTCGCGAACCACGTGGTCTCGCGAACCAGTACACAGCAGTCGCGAACCCGCGACAGCTCTGGGCCATACTGCTCGTCAAGGGCTTTCGCCGACAAAGCCATGACCCATCCAAGAACACAGGCGATACCTTGATCCGAGATGGCTCCGGATGTGACAGTGATCAGTGATTTTGTTCGATGACGTGGTGACACACTGACTTGTTGTGGTACCATGCCGACAACGACGACGCGACGACGCGCGCATGTGTCCCGCATGATATTTGTTGCAAGGGATTGTGGCCCCTGGCAGGCGCGCGAACGCCGTTGAAAGAGCTTGCGAAAACAGCTCGCGCGAGCTAAATAACATAAATGTTGAAAAACCATTGGTTTTTAAGGATTCGGACAGCGCGCGCGGGTAGAAATTTTGAAAATTCGTACAGATGTGTTTCGAGAACCTACGGTGCGATTCGTATGATTTTATGTTGCGCGGTGCTAAAATTCCTAAGAAACCCAATGATTTTTGAAGATTTCGGCGTGCGCGCGCGAAGAAAAAACGAATGTGTCCCACATGGTATTATTTGACAGGGATGATGGCCCTGGCAGGCGCGCAACCTTTGTTGCAGAAGTTCGAAGCACGTGAAAAAGTTGCTCGCAAGAGCCCGTTTGACAGAAATGTTGAAAAAGTATTGGGTTTCCTAAGAAATCCGCAAGAGCGCGCGGGGTGAATTTTTGAAACCCTTTTTTTGAAAAACCATTGGGTTTTTCATGTTTTTATGTGAAAATCGCTACGAAGACTAAGGTTTTGGAAGGATTTCGTCTTGCGCGCGCGAATGTGCACTTCGTGTCATTTTTTGCAAGGGATTCTTGAAGTTTGGTCATGTTAGAACAAGAAATGTCCACTTTGCCTTATTTTTTGCAAGGGAAAACCGATCGTAACAACACAACCGGATCTGGTATACCCCGTTTTGCCTGAGACTTCCTCACGAAAATGATGAAAATGCGGCTGCGGCCTAGGCGCGGCGGGGGGGGCGCGCACCAGGGGCCCCAACAATAATTATTCTTTAGAATTAATAATGTTAACAACAACAACAGCAACAACAACAACAGCATCAGCAACAGCAACAACAACAGCAGTACTGTAAGTTTAAGACTGTTCGTTCAAACCTGCTGGCGTGCCATTCAACACGTATATTCCATACCCTCGGTACCCGCCTTCTTCGTGTTCGATCGTACCTTCTTGTGAGTATATGCTCCTTACCTGCCGCGCGTAATTGGTGCAGCCCCTGAAACAAAGAAAGAGACGATGGAAGGAAGGAGCAGGGATAAGGATGGAGCACGAGAAGTTAGCAGGAGGGGGGGTTGGAGCAGAAAACACGTGGCAGAACCGGACGGGGCCATCGGGCGGGTAGACCCAAACGGGCGGGTCGGGAAGGCGGGCCCATGCGGCCAGGTCGAGCAGGCGGGTTGTTGAAGCGTGAATATTGTATGGATCGCGCGAAAGTTTCGAGCAAGAGCGCGATTCCCAAGTGAATCGCTAGACAAGCCAAAGCAAGAGCGTGATTCTTGGGCGTCGAGGGCGCGGCGTCAGAATAAAGCGCAAGGACGTCCCACGCGAGAGCGCGATTCCTGCATCAATTGTGAGGAAGACCCGCGCGAGAGCGCGAATTTGGAATAACTTGTGAGCAAGTATCAGGCGGGAGCAGTTGTTGTTGTAACTCGGGGGGCAAGCCCCAAGGGAGGCGATAATCGAAAAGATGCAACGGTTTCTGGGCAGGGGGTCAACGATAATTGTTCTTTGGGTATGAGAATTCAACCACAACAGCAACAGCAACAACAACAACAGCAACAAGCAGTTGACCCTCACGCGCGATGTTTTCACACGAAGCAGGCGACCATCATGATAACCATCCACACCATAGGGGACTATTGTTCTATAGCGGGGCCCGTTATTCCCATTCCCAGATATCCCGCCCAACGAGGTCTTGCAAACACCTCATCCGAGGAATGTCAACACATCCCGCCTCGAAAACGCATGTCCTCGCCTTGCTGCGCCGATGCGAGACCGCCACTGGAGCCCCAGCCAAGGGTAAAGCACAAGGAAGTATCGAGCGACAGGATTGCTTTGGTGTGGATGGGGGCTGTCGGCGGCGAGGCAGATACCTATACGACCACCCTGCGGGTGATGAGGAGGTTGGGGGGGGAGGGGGCCAGCAATGGGCAACAGTGGTGGTTGCTGTTCTGACGATGCCAGTGGAGATCGTTGCGTTGCCGCTCGCTCTTGGGAGCCTTGGTGTCGAGCCAGCACTTGAAACCACGGGACACCGATGGGACACCGACGGGACACAATCGATCTCATTGTCGATCTCACTATCCATCCCAGTATCGATCCCACTATCGATCTCGCTATCGATCTTAGTATCGATCTCGTTTTCGAGCTCATTATTCATCTCACAATCGATTCCACTATCGATCTCGCTATCGATCCCACTCGATCGACCTCACTATCAATCTCATTATCGATTCCACTATCGATAGCGCGATCGATCTCACTATAGATCTCACTATCGATCTCTCACTATAGATTCCACTATCGATCTCAACATCGGTCTCATTATCGATTTCACAATCGATCTCACGATCGATCTCACTGTCGATCTCACCACGGGATACCACGGGACAACGACGGGACACCGGCGGGACACCAGCGGGACACCTGCGGGACACCAGCGGGACTCAGGTGGGACACCGCGCGCCACCAGTTGCCGGGCGGAGAACCTTTTGGTCTGGCCGCGGCCTAGCCACGACGGGACACCGGCGGAACACCAGCGGGACACCAGCGGGACACCGGCGGGACACCGCGCGCCACCGGTTGTTGGGCGGAGAACCTTTGGGTCCAGCCGCGGCCCAGTCACAGGAGAATTTCCTCTCCCCCGCCCACGCAGCTTCGCCTCGCCCGCACGCACGGCACGAACACGAAGCCGAAATCGATTTCCCGGTAGGGGGGCTCTCCGTTCCATTTCGATCTCACCCCCCAGCCTCCGACCTAGCCCTGAATAGGAAGGGAGGAAGTCTCAAGCAGGGCCGTTGTTGCTGCTGGGAGCGGCGCCAATGCTGAAGGGAGTAGGGCGCTAGTCCAGCGCACAACCAAACGAAATCTCGAGCGGGAACGCTGGTTTTGTTTGGACGGCGGTTGTCGGCGGCGAGGAGGAACACCGCCTTGAGTAAGAAGGGAGGAAGTCTTGAGCGGGAGCCGTGGTTTTGTCGGGATGGGGGCTGTCGGCGTCGAGGAACAGCACCGTCCTAGGAAAAAAGGAAGAAGCCTCGAGCGGGAGCGTCGTTCTTGCTGGGAGCGGCGCCAAATTCAAAAGAGAGTAGGGCACCAGTCCAGCGTCGATGCTTGGGGAACCACATTGCGGCCACGCACCCAGGAATGGTGTAAGACCGCTCGGCCTCCTCACCCTGACAAAGTAAATGCCAGGCCAATGAGTTGATCAGTCGATTGATGCGATTGCGGTTCTATTCCGACCCGTCCGACGGGCACCAGTCATATTTGAGGTGATCGGTCTGGGGCGTCTGCTCATTGTCCTCACTCCACGCCGTCGTCTCGATCTTCCAATTTGTGTCAGGCCTACTGCCAGGAGGCACTCTACCGCGGGCAGTACAAGGCTTCGTCGAGGGTGGAGTTCACGCTCGATCGCATCCATGGGACCCTCACGGTGCATCGACGACAATGTTGTATTTGTTTTGTCAGATGCAGACCGTTGCATTGAGTTTCTGATCTCTCAGAGGAGAGTGGTAGAGATGAGTAGGCGTGTGGGTATTCTCCCCCACCCTCCCTATCCTTCTCCTCCCCCTTCCCTTTATTATTCTACTTTCCCCCCTCCCTCGCCCCCCTCATCCCTCTTGTCCTTCCTCTGAACTTAGCTTCTGAAGACACGAACATGGCCCGCGAGCTGGCTGACAGAGCGGAGGGGCAGCCCACGGTGTCCAGGATTGGGGGGAGGCTCCCTCCCCCGATCCCCTCAACCCCTCCACCCCCACCCCATTTGGAACCCGCCGCCTGAACTCTTCCAACCAGCCAGCCGACCTCGAGACCGATTCTCGAGAAGCTGAAGGGAGGAGGAGAATGAAGAAGAAGAAGAAGGAGGAAAAGAAGCTGGAGGAAGAAGAGGAGGAAGAAGAGGAGGCGGAGAACAATGAGGAGGAGGACATGGAGGAGCAAGCGTCCGAGTGTCAATCGGCAGCACCTGCGGCGCCCTCCGGGGGCACACCAAGAGTGGGGCGCTGAGACCACCGCAGGCTATTTTGAAGGCTTGTGAAGGGCAGCCAGAACTGTCCGGGGATCTTATGTGCGCAGTCTTGAGCCTCACCAAAGAGGAGAGGAGAGGAAAAGGAGAGGAGAGGAGAGGAAGATGGGGGAGGGACACGAGGCAAGGGGGGTACGAGCGAGAGAGGGAGACGGGAGACGTAGAGGGAGAGCGACAGATGAATGGATGGTCTCTCCCGTCTCTTCCTTCCCTCCCTCTCTTCCGCCCCTTCCCCCCATGTCTTGATGCGTTCGAAACGTCGGGACTCGGAGTTCTGGACCACACCTCTTGCATGGTCGTCTCTCCGTGGCTCTTGTCTTTTGGGCCCTGGGCCAAACATTGATCTTCGCTGACCCAAACTACAAAACAACCCATCATCTTGATGTCAGGGCCTTCCCTCCTCACGACGAGGCCGAGGTCACGGCGGTGGTGGCGGCGACCCCGCGAGGCGCTGATGCCCCCAGAGGTCGTCAGCGAGCTGCGCGTCGCCACGGGGGCAGTGACCCACTCCTACACCGCCGTCACCCTTGTGCAGTCTGACCTTGCCGGCTTCACGCGGCCGCGGAGGGGGGGCGTTGTTGCCATCGGCGTCGTCGTCATCGTCGCGGTCGTCGCCGCCCTCGCCGTCGAGGTTGTCGCCTGTCACCATTCTGATGTTGTTTTGTTGGCTTCACGCTGCCGCAGAGGCAGGGACGTCGCCGTCGGCGTCGTCGTTGCCGCTGTCGTCGCCGTCGCCGTCGTCGCCTTCGTCGTAGCTGTCGCCCTTCACCGTTGCGTCCTCCGACCAAGCCAGATTTACGCGGCCACGGAGAGAGGATGGGAGGAAAGAGGAGGGCCTGTGGAGGCATTGGCTGCCATCCTCCTCATCCCTCTCCTCCTCCCCTCTCCTCCTCCTCCTCCTCCTCCTCCTCCTCCTCCTCCTCCTCCTCTTCCTCCTCCTCCTCCTCCTCCTCCTCCTCCTCCTCCTCCTCTTCCTCCTCCTCCTCCTCCTCCTCCTCCTCCTCCTCTTCCTTCTCCTCCGCCTCTTCCTCGTTCTCCTCCTCCACCTCCTTCTCCTTTCCTCCTCCTCTTCTTTCTCCTCCGCCTCTTCCTCGTTCTCCTCCTCCACCTCCTTCTCCTTTCCTCCTCCTTTTTTTCCTTAGCCTGACCTACGCACAGGCTGTGGCGGTCGAACCTCCTCCTCCTCCTCCACCTCCTTCTTCTCCTCCTCCTCCTCCTTCTCCGCCTCCTCCTCCTCATCATCATCAGCACTATCATTATCATTATCATTATCAGTCGCAGTACCATCATCATCATTATCAGTATTATCCTCGTCATCATCAGCATCAGCATCATCATCAGCAGCATCATCTTCATCATCATCGTCGTTGTCATTACCAGCATCAGTATCGGAATCATCATCAGCAGCAGCATCATCATTTCTCCCTTCCATCTATCGGGCTGGCCAGAGGGGGGAAAGCGAGGGGAAAGCGAAGGATGGAGGAATGAGAGAATCGAGATGGAGAGAGGTGGGGGGGACCGAGGGAGGCTGCTGTCCAACGCTGGCTTGGACACCGGCCACGTGCAGATATTCGATCAAGGCTGCAAAAGGAGCGCAAAAGAAAAAGCGCACATTCAACATGCAGTGCTTGCACCCAGGCTTCCTTATTTGGCCTGTAATTCATTGGCTGGCATTTCTATGTTTTCGCCCCGTGGCCGTTTCGCGGCCGCCTGGGGCAATGGATGGCATGCTTAGGTTTTCGCCGAGTGGCCTCCCCGCGTTCTGGTTGGCAGTCATGGGTTTCCTCCCAGTGGCTGTCCCGTGGCCGCACAGTCTGCACCATACATGTACACACTGTCCCCCACGATTGTACAACATCGATTTTCCGCTCTTACAAAATTAGCCAGCGTGGACCCCAAGCAGTAGGCTATTGCAGTCTATGCGGTGCAATCTATGTGGTGCAATCAATCACTTGCTCAACTTGAAGCTGTCCTCTCCACTGCTCGCGCAAACATCCCACCCACCCACCCGCAACTTGGTTTGCAAAACCTCTTAAGACCGACTACGACGACACCGACGACAACGACGACGACGACGACACCGACGGCGTCTCCGACGACTTCGACGACGACAACGACGCCGACGACGACGAAGACGACGACGGCGACGACGACGACGACAACGCCAACGATGGCGACGACGAGGGAGGAGGAAGGACGACGATGGCGACAACGACGACAACGAGGGAGGAGGGAGGACGGCGACGACGCGAGCGACGACGAAGGAGGAAGGACGGCGACGCCGACGACGACAACGACGAGGGAGGAGGGACGACGACGACGACAACGACGACGACGACGACGACGACGACGACCGTGACGAAATAGAACCGACGACGAGACGCCGACGACGGACGACGACGACGACGTGGGAGGAGGAGGACGGACGACCACGGCGACAACGACGACGGAAACGACCACGACGCCAAAGAGGACGACGACGACGAACACGAGAAAAGACAGAGGACGACGTAGGCGACGACGACGACGACGACGCGGGAGGAGGGAGGACGGCGACGACGACGACGACGACGACGACGCAAGAGCGCGCGCGCACGCTTTTGTTGAAAATCCGTGTTGCGAAACCTTGGGTGCTTGTAGGTTTTTTTGGACGCACGATTTTGAAATCCTTCCGAAACCGATGGGTTTTGAAGATTTTCGGCATACGCCCGCGACGACGCGCGCGTCTGCACTTCGTCCCGTTTTTTTGCAAAGGATTCTCGCGACGGCACACGCGCAAGGGCGTTCGACAGATTTCGACATGCGCGCGCGCGAAGCCCGTTGGTACATTTGTGAAAATATTGAAAAACCGATGGTTCTTTTAAGATTTCGCAAGGGCTCGCGCGGAAGCTGTTTTAGCAAATCAGTGTTTCAAAACCTTGTGTGCTTGTATGTTGTTTGGAAACTCGATTGCGACATCCTTCCGGCACCGAAGGATTTTGAAGGAGTTCGGCATGCGCGCGCGACGACGCGCGCGTGCGCTCTTCGTCCCATCTGTTGCAATGGATTCGCGAAAAAGTGCTATGTTAGAACAAAAAATGTCACCGCATAGTGGTTTTTCATAACGGAACCTCAGGGGGGGGAAACCCGGCCTGCCTGGGATGGTACGACCTCATATTTAGGATGGACGAGTGTCCAGACTCATACATGGTTTACATACCCGAAAAGGGAACGGATAAGTCCGGGGGGGGAGAGTCTATTTTCCTTTTAGAAAGGAGAATCCATTCTGCTGAACTTGAAGTCGTCATCTCCACTGCTCGCGCAAACATCCTACCCACCCACCCGCAACTTGGTTTGCAAAACCTCTTAAGACCGACTACGACGACACCGACGACAACGACTAGGACGACACCGACGACGTCTCCGACGACTTCGACGACGACAACGGCGCCGACGACGACGAAGACGACGACGACGACGACGCCAACGAAGGCGACGACGAGGGAGGAGGAAGGACGACGACGGCGACAACGACGACAACGACGACAACGACGAGGGAGGAGGGAGGACGGCGACGACGCGAACGACGACGAAGGAGGAAGGACGGCGACGCCGACGACGACAACGACGAGGGAGGAGGGAAGACGACGACGACAACGACGACGACGACGGCGACGAAATAGGAGGGACGACGACGAGACGCCGACGACGGACGACGACGACGACGAGGGAGGAGGAGGAAGGACGACCACGGCGACAACGACGACGGAAACGACCACGACGCCAAGAGACGACGACGACGACACGACGAAGGCGACGACGACGACGACGACGACGGACGACGTAGCGCGACGACGTGTTCCTTCCGAAACCGATGGGTTTGGAAGGTTTTCGGCATACGCCCGCGACGACGCGCGCGTCTGCACTTCGTCCCGTTTTTTGCAAAGGATTCTCGCGACGGCACACGCGCAAGGGCGTTCGACAGATTTCGACATGCGCGCGCGCGAAGCCCGCTTGGTAGCATTTTGTGAAAATCTTGAAAACCTATGGTTTTCTTAAGATTTTGCAAGAGCTCGCGCGGAAGCTTTTTTAGCAAATCAGTGTTGCGAAACCCTGTGTTTTTGTATGTTGTTTGGAAACTCGATTGCGAAATCTTTCCGGCACCGAAGGATTTTGAAGGATTTCGGCATGCGCGCGCGACGACGCGCGCGTGTGCACTTCGTCCCATCTGTTGCAAGGGATTCGCGAAAAAGTGCTATGTTAGAGCAAAAAATGTCACCGCATAGTGATTTGCAAGGACACCTCAGGGGGGGGAACCCGGCCTGCCTGGGATGGTACGATTTCATATTTAGGATGGACGAGTGTGCAGAAAATATATATGAAATCATATTATCCAAGGGGGAGGCGATAAGGCCGGGGGCGGGGGATAGAGTCTATTTTCCTTTTGGAAAGGAGAACCCACTCTGCTGAACTTGAAGTCGTCATCCCCACTGCTCGCGCAAGCATCCCACCCACCCACCCGCAACTTGATTTGCAGAACCTGTTAAGACCGACTACGACGACACCGACGACAACGACTAGGACGACACCGACGACGTTTCCGACGACTTCGACGACGACAACGACGCCGACGACGACGAAGACGACGACGACGACGCCAACGAAGGCGCCGACGAGGGAGGAGGAAGGACGACGATGGCGACAACGACGACAACGACGACAACGACGAGGGAGGAGGGAGGACGGCGACGACGCGAACGACGACGGAGGAAGGACGGCGACGCCGACGACGACAACGACGAGGGAGGAGGGAAGACGACGACAACGACGACGACGACGGCGACGAAATAGGAGGGACGACGACGAGACGCCGACGACGGACGACGACGACGACGTGGGAGGAGAAGGAAGGACGACCACGGCGACAACGACGACGGAAACGACCGCGACGCCAAAGAGGACGACGACGACGAACACGAGAAAAGACAGGGGACGCGACGACGACGACGACGACGACGACGCGGGAGGAGGGAGGACGGCGACGACGACGACGACGACGACGCAAGAGCGCGCGCGCGCACGCTTTTGTTGAAAATCCGTGTTGCGAAACTTTTGGTTTTTACCTAACAGCGTTTGCTGATAGGTTTCTAGTAGGCTCAAAAGAGAGCAGCAGATGACTCCACACGGGGGTCGGGGCGGCATCCGGGGAGCTGTATCCGAACTCGTGTCCGAATTCGTTTTTCAGAAACAGTCACACACTTCGTGCTCTTCGACCTCCCAGAACTCCATTCCCGGGCCACATTCTGAATGCCCGAAACCAACTGTAGGCCACTTCGTGCTCTTCGACTTCCCAGAACTCCATTCCCGGGCCACATGTTGAATGCCCGGAGCCAACTGTAGGCCACTTCGTGCTCTTCGAGTGCCCAGAACTCCACTCCCGGTCCCCATGTTGAATGCCCGGAGCCAACTGTAGGCCACTTCGTGTTCTTCGAGTTCCCAGAACTCCATTCCCGGGCCACATTTTGAATGCCCGGAGCCAACCGTAGGCCACTTCGTGCTCTTCGAGTGCCCAGAACTCC